TAATATTAACTAAATTCTTAAACTAAATTATTAAAATGTTTATACATGTATGTATAAACAATAGAATTTAGCTTGACATTTTTGAATTTAATTATTCTATCCTCATTGAACATGATAATGTTCATGTTTACTTAGTTGGCACAAATGTTAAAAATATTGTATTTTAGTGTTCTGTTAAATTACCTATTGAAAGTATTAAAGTTGAAAAATAACTATAATTTGTAGCAAAATAAAATTAAAAATAATTATATTCTATAGCAAAATGTTAGAAAATGTGTAAATAATTCCCACACTGCAAAGTAAACAAAGATTTTTTATATCACTTATAATAAAAAAGCCTATTCTTACTATTTTAAACAAAATACAGACAACACAAAAGCTGGGTTCTTTTTTTGCTGTAATCCGTGTGCTATAAATTTGAGAAATTGACTGAGTGACAAAAACATCTTCACTAAAAAACATCAAAGTATGATTTCTATTAATGTTAGCAAAAATCATGTAATCTTTATTCTACAAAACGGAAATTTACTTTTATATATATTTATTATTTAAAAAGTGTTTTAATATCCTATATATAAAATTTTAATCATACAATAAAATTATTTTTAAACTGTCATGAAACATTTGGAATGTGACAGCAAAAAAAGGATTTGAAAACTTTAGAAGAAAATTTAAAGCAGATGCATATTGCATGCACACAGATGCATACATATATATCCAAAGATCCAGCAGATCCTTAAATAAACAGAAATATCGCAAAATTCTTAATTTGTTAATGAAAATTGACATATGATCGTATTTTTACCGCACTTCGGTGAATTTTAGTATTATCATCATCATCGTCATCTCAGCCATTTAACTACTGCCGAGCGTAACCCTTCTCATATACTCATAGCTTTGGTATGAACGCCCTTAACTACGTCGTAATTAGGAATACAGTCGATGACCGGCCATGTTTGGTTTTGTTATTATTATTAATATCTTGCTAATACTAGTCATTACATCTGTACATGTATAATGAAATCTCAGAAAGGAGTCTGCACGAAGAATTTTTTGAAAAAAAAGTGATTGATACGCGTATAAGAAGTGTCTGTGAGGCGATATAAATGCATCGAAAGAAATATTCAATTTAAATATTCGGACGTAGGTGGTCTGTTCTATTTTCAAAATATCAATAATCACTAATGCTTCGAAGTGAATTAGAGCTGAAATATTATATATTAATATTCCAACTCCACTTTGTATATTATAGGGGGAGATGGGGTACATTGATACATGGGGCACATAGATACAGTCAATATACATCGAAAACAAAAATTATTACGCCACACATAAGATGTTAATCATTACACGCACACTAGCGCGGAGCAACGTTCACTCAACGGTTAGCGCTTGGCACCTTCAAACTTGTTTCTGACGTTCGCAACAAAATTTTCATAGTTTTATTTCAGATGTAATTGTTCTAATATATTTAGTGTTACCTGTGATATATTAAGATATATGGTAAGTATATATCTGTCATTACATTATGTACATTTCAATTTTTTGTTATTATTAATTGCTTTAATTTTATAAAATATTTATTTCGATTGTAGTAGGCAGGGGCACATTAATACAAGTACTGTCGGGGCACATTGATACGTATCAATAATTAAAATGTATGTTTATGCAAGACTTAACATATTTTTATTTCTTTATAGAAAAATGGTTCGTACATTCAAAGCAAAACACAGAGAACTTTCATAGATGAAATTTCTCTGGCTTCTGCGATATCTGAGGTGTTGGAAGGAAAATTATCAATAAGAAAAGCAGCCGACAAATATAATTTAAAACCTGCAACTCTACAACATAGAATCGAAAAAAAGAAGAATAAAAACTGCGCAGGCCTGAGTTTTTCATCTAAGTATACCTCCAAACAAGTATTTACAAAGGAACAAGAAGATCAACTAAATTCTTACATAATAAAATGCAGTAAAATGCATCATGGGCTTACATTAATTAAAGTGCGGCAGCTTGCTTACGAATATGCTAAAAAATTAAATTGCATCTATCCACCATCTTGGGATGTCAATAAAAGTGCTGGCTTAGATTGGACATATGGTTTTCGTAAAAGAAATAAAAATATTAGTTTAAGGAAACCCGAAAACACAAGTATTGCCCGATCATTTTCATTTAATAAAACTGCTGTTGAAACCTTTTTTAATAATTTAGAAGATGTTTTCGCAAGATTTAATTTTACAGCTGATCGTATTATTAATTTCGATGAAACCGGTATTACAACGGTTATGAATACTCCAAAGATACTGGCAGAAAAAACTCAACGTCAAATCGGCCAAATTGTTTCTGCAGAGAGAGGCGAGTTGGTGACATTTGGAGGAATCATTACTGGAACTGGCAATAGTATTCCACCTGTATATGTGTTTCCAGGGTTCATTATAAAAGCCATTTTTTAAATGGTGCTCCTGAAGGGTCTTTAGGCTTATCGTCTAGATCTGGTTGGATAAATAATGAATTATTTATAGAGGTTTTGAAACATATCCAAAAACACACAAATAGTACAAAAGAAAGACCGATTCTTTTAATGTGTGACATCATGAAACAGAAGTATCAACATATTTCAGTTGAAGCAATTAATTATTCACGTGAAAATGGAATTGTCTACTTATCGTTTCCTCCACACACATATATTTGATGTTGGTGTTTTCGGTCCATTATCAAAATATCAATGACTGGCACATTAATCATCCTGGGAAAACGATATCTATTTATGATATTCCAAGTCTTTCTAAGATGGCTTTTTTTGAATCTTTCAACGCAAAAAATATTACAAGCGCATTTGCTAAGCCTGGAATCATACCATTTAATAGATTAGCATTTTTGAAGAAGATTTTTCTCCTTGTGATGTTTATAGCAACCAAGGATCCAAAAATGATCTTATAACTGATTCTAGTGCCAATCCTATTAATCTCGAATTAACGACAGAGAGCGAGCAATGTGTAACACCACCTCCTACTAGAGAGCTACCAAATATCATGAATGATTTTGAGTTACATAATATGCCTTCCACATCAAGAGTTTCTGATGAAATTAATGAAATACTCACAACCAAACCATGCATAACTCCTGAAGTTGTAAGGCCTTATCCAAAAATTTACCGAAACAATCCAACCAGAAAAGGAAAAGGAAAGGGTAAATTGCGAATTTACACGGATACTCCAGAAAAACAAAGAATAGAAGAACTGCAAAGATCTAAGGATGAAGCGAACCTAAAAAAAATCGACGAAAACGCGAAAAAGATCTGAAAACTGCTAAAAATTTACTGGGGATAACTGTTAATCCCATCAAAAAACAAAATAAAAATGCAAAGACTATATCTATAGAATCAGACTCTTCAAACTCTTCTGCTAATATTTTATTACAGGAATCATTCGATTCTGAAAGGTCTACCATAGAATCATCTGATGATGATATTTTTAATACTGCCCCACCTGCAGTAAATGATCTTGATGATGGTGACTATGTTATAACAAAGGTAATTAATGTAGGAAAGAAGCAACCTTATAAGCATTTTGTTGGAAAAATAGTATCAAGATATCCCGATAGCCAGAACGACTTTCTTGTCTCTTTTTTAAAGCTTAAACCGACTGGAACTTTTGTATTCCCTGATATAAGAGACGAAGCTTCGGTTAATATTTGTGATATTGTGTTGAAGTTACCAAATCCTATAGTAAAGAAGGGCACTAGTAGAACGCTTCTCTATTCAATTTTAAGATAAATTTGTCACCTTACAACATTTCAATGTAATGTAAATCCTCATAAAAACTAGTGATGACTGAAGAGGTCAAATAAAGAATGATGATATCTTATTGTTTAAGTATAAAACTAGTGATGACTGATTAGGCCAAATAAAGAATGATTGTATTTTATTGTTTTTCATGGTATAGTATATTGTTTGGATTTACTTGTTCTATTTTTATATAAAAAACGCAAAAAACATTGATTTCAATTAGTACAAGATTAATCTTAAGTACACATAATTTACAAATATAAGTAATTAATAAATAAATGTCATAAAAATCAATAAATCTTGTTTAATTTGTAGAAACGTTTCTGTGAATCAAAGTACCACCATTATATGTATCAATGCACCCCAAATGTGGGGTACATTGATATTTTTTCTTAAATTCTAATATTTTTTATGATTAAATCTAACTGTTAATTTGACTTTGAAAAGTTAGTTGAATATTTATTGAATAGATTATAATTCTTAAATTGTATATTACTGTCAATAGGTCGTCTTTTTTTGGGTTTAAGTAAAAATCGTATCAAGGTGCCCCAACTCCCCCTACTGAATATTATCTAATAAATATTCCTGCATTACCATGTATCGGAGCCCCAAATTTTTTTTTAAAAAAATTAAAATATTATTAAGGCAATAGTAGACGTTACATATTCTTTTTTATCCCTCCGTATGAATAATTAATTATTTTAGGCTTAAAAAAAACTTAAGAACCCATTGACGGTCATCTGTGTTATAAAAAATAAAAAAAATAAAAACATATTTTTTATGACTTAAGTCATGTTAAATCAATATTTAATGATCTATTATTATTTTAATATAATTTCTTTTATACAACTTAGAATGGCAAACAAGCTGACGGCCCACCTGATGGAAAGTGGTAACCGTCGCCTATAAAAATGAGCAGTACCATGGACACAACTGAGTACACCGTTTCGCCCATGATACGCCCCCACCCATGCGTTGCCGTTCCTGAGGACTCAGGTGTTACTCCTCTGTACCCTGTAAATTCACATCATATCCCACCCTTCAAACCGAAACATAGATATGCAAACACAGCTGCTTTACGTTTGAAACACGAATGGTACAGAAGTATCCAAGCAAACAACTTTTGTACAGTCTCCCTCTTGTTCATTTGTACATGTGTAAATAAATAACTTTCTACTATATTTAATTATATATTCCTTAACTCTAAATTTAGATTGACAACCTCACAGAACAAGGAAAAGTGCCCATTATTGTTGGAGGAACCAACTATTACATAGAATCCATTGTCTATAAAATACTTGTAGAAGACATGAATGATTCAGAAGCTTTACTCTGGGATAAAAGTAGACGGAAAAGAGATCTCGATGACTACAGTGATGATCATGATGAAGTAGAAACCAAAAAGGCTGCTAAAGAACCTACCCACGAAACGACTGCAAAGCCTTCAACATCAGAAATCATTGATGAGACAGAAAACATTTCAGAAAAAACCAACTCCGATACCTGTATAGATGTTACTAAAAATACTCAAGCAGTAAATAAAGAAAAACTAAAGATTGACGTAGATAATGAAAAGAAATTTACAAACGAGGAGATCCATACAAAACTGAAAGCTATAGATCCTGTGATGGCGGCGCGTTTACATCCAAACAACAGGCGGAAAGTTTTAAGGTAAGTCTTGTTATTTATTTACACATGCAATACATTGTCTTATTAAATTTTATTAATTTAATTTTTCCAGCAATTTTAATGTTCTTTTCGTGCAATATTGTTTTGAAAATCAATACATTATTATACGTTGTTTTACCTCTTACCACCATTTTTCAGGACTTATTTTTTCTTATTGGCATGAAAGCTATCCTATTCTCCAAGTTGGACCGAACATTACTTTATTACTAAATCTCATTAAAATCAGTTGAACTGTTTCAGCGGTTAGTGTGAACAAACATCGTGCATGTAATTTTTATATATTACTCTAAATAAATAGAAATATAAATTAGTAAATAGATTAGGACTTTATTTGGACAAATAGAGGATAACTTTGCATACGATAGAGTACGAGGTTTGTCCGGAAAGTACGTATAAAAGTTTTTTAAAAATTTTATTTTACAATTATTCAGATAAATCAATTTTATCCCCTTCAAAGTACTCCCCCTGTGACATAATGCACTTGTGCCAACGCCGTTTCCACTGTGAGAAGGCTCCTTGAAAGTCCTCTGGTTGTAGGTTTCTCAGCTGCCCCGTCGTAGCTTTTTTTATCTCATTTATGTCCCCCAAATGCCGCCCCCGAAGTACCAATTTGGTTTTTGGGAACAAGAAGAAGTCACACGGGGCCAAATCCGGCGAATAGGGGGGGGTGTTCGGTCACCGTAATGGAATTTTTACTCAAAAACTCACGGACAACAAGAGAGGTGTGGGCAGGGGCATTGTCGTGGTGAAGAATCCAACGCCCCTCTCGCGCCAATTCTGGACGAACTCGTGCCACACGAGCTTTGAGGCGTCTGAGCACATCGACGTAGAATTTTCCATCAACTGTCTGGCATGGAGGGACGAATTTTGATGGACAATCCCCCGAAAATCAAAAAAACAATATTGTCTTGACATTTGAATTTTCTTGATTTTTTTGATCGTGGTTCCCCGGATGTCTTATCGAATTAGATCGGCAAAAATTTATTCTTGCCGAGTTTCGAGAGAAACTTGATTACGACGCGCTGCTCTTCAACGGAAGCGGGCTCCATGCCGACGGGGTTTCGTTGGATTGTTTCTTTTGCCGCACGGCGGTCAGACCAGAACTGAAGCATTGTTAGGGACATAAGGAAGGGGTCCCCTTTTCCTGCGCTTACCTGGCCTACTCCTCTATTCTATTCCAGAACACTTTTATACGAACTTTGACAGACCTCGTATGTTAGAATTTAACAAACTAACCATTGCGGCATATTTCTTACTGTTAGTATTTTTATACTCGTCCGAACTCGTAAATGAAAGGTCCGATACGAATAATTTAATGAGACATTTACACATACCTACATATACAACTTTGATTATGAAACTATTTAATTGGATAAGATTTAATAAACTTTAATGTTATAATTTTTCATTCTACTCGTGTTTTCAGATTAATTTGACCAAAAAACTGTTATTTTGACTTAATTATAATTATATTATATCTATAATTAAATAAACATACAAAAAAATCTAATTAATCAATCTTCTAGTCCTCTCTTTTTATAATATTAATTCAACAAAAAATATATTTTGTTCATCAAGACCCACGATGAAGATACAAGAATAAAAAAAAATTATGTAAAAATAGAATCTAGCATAGAATAAAGTAAACGTAGTGATACCCAAAAACAGAAAATACTATCAAAATTTAAATAACAAAAATATATTGAAATCAAATTCTGAATTTTGAGATTATAAAGTTTTTTTTTTTATTGTTAGGGAGGAAAACAAGCAGACGTCCACCTAATAGAAAACGGCTACCGTCGCCCACGAATACCTGCAACACGAGAAAAGTTGCTTGTACGTTGCTGGCCTTTTAAATGTTTGTAGGCACAGTTTTTTATCTCCCGACAACTAACTATATCTGACATGATTCAACAATTATACTGTTGGAAAAAACAAACAAATATTATTTAATAAGTAGATTTTTTCCCCACTTTCCCTTTAAAATTAATCGTGCTAGTTACTCTGAGTCATGGATTGTTTCTTTTGCTCTTCTAATATAGTTAATGTTTGTTATAGTAATATTTATGTATGTATATATTTAATTATTTGATGACTTTTAAATTGATTGTAATGTTATTTTTTGACAATTATTATTGGTTATTTTGTTGCTTCATATTTTTTTTTTTGTTTTGTTATATTTTACGATATCTTTTTGTCACTTGCAAAAATATTCAACACAATGCAATATTGTAACGAATAAAATAAATTGAATTGAAATTGTGTGTATGTTTATAATAGTCTAATTATATGTTTATAATATATTAATATAATAAGTATTACTTTTTATATTTCCTGCATTTAGTAATACACTGCCTACTTATTTCTCGATTTACCCAATAGTTGACTGGTAGCAAACACCGTCCGGTATTAAGTCCATAATTTCACATGTACAAAATTTCACTGTGCATTAAAGTTTAAATAAATAAATAAAAATAAATCTTTATTCGGGTCCAGAAATCTAGACCTACTCGTAATGATTACATGTCGAGATTTATGCGTACTACGTTAAAAAGTAAACGTCTCGAGTAATTTACACCAAACAAATATACAGTTAAAGCATTTATGAATGAAACTCATACTTATTGTTGTCTGTTCACACTGAATCGTCCCCAATCGTTTCCTCGTATATATATTTTTTCCAAATATCACCCTTATTGCTTTTACTTTAACGTACTTTGTTCGTTGATTCGATCAGCCGCTTCATTGGTTTTATATATTCCAATAATGGTTTGGAAATGTCAGAGTTCACAGAGTTTTGGCTTCAATATTGGGTGGTATCTCGAACTAAAGTATGTGTATTCTATGACGCAATTCTATCCAGTTAGTAGATTATTTGAGTATATCATGTTACAATTATATTTTCTATTGTATTGTTTTTTTTTTTATACCACTGAGGTGGCAAACAAGCATACGGCACACCGTAGCCTATGAACACCTGCAATACCAGAGGTATTACGCGTGCGTTGCCGACCCTGAAGAAACCTCTTTACCCCCCTTTTGAAGAACCCCATGCTGTAGTCTCTTGGAAAAATCTCGGCAGGGAGCTCATTCCATAACCTTAGTGTTCGTGGGAGGAAACATCTCTGAAACCGCGCAGTACGCGACCATTGAGGCTGTAGGACATGAGGATGAACTCCCGTTCATCCTCATGTCGGCTCGCCATCGACATCCTTGTTGATGGGGAGCCGTACGATGGTAGAAAGTGGCTGTGGGCATCATATTGAACAATTCCTCTGAGCACAATCCAAATAATATATTGTATAATCTTTATTGTATATAATTTACATGGGATACACTAAAAAAATTTAATGTTCAACGGCGGACTTGGAACTGACTTTGGAATAAGAGCAGAGATTCCCAGAATGGTCGATGTCTAGAGTCCCCTTTGAGTAGAAATCTGTTTTCCAGGGTAAAATTGATTTTGGAGATCGACGAGGTCTAAAAATCGACCCCTATTAACTAACCCCTATTAAATAATTAACACAAGTTCTTATTCGAAACTTTCAAGACACTGTATAAGCTACGTTACGTGTATCAACTTGTTATAAAAATTACTAATATTTAATAGAAAATGTCATTGTTTTACTTAAAAAAAAAAAAACACAAAAATCCATAAGCGTACACAAAATCATACTTTTTAAAGTAATTTGACTATGGCAATCTGGCCACTTCCGGATATGGCGAATATGACAAAACGCCATAGTGTACCATTACCATAGAAGGACCACATCACCTTCATTTATTAAAACAAAAATACTATAATTTCATCCATCAGGATAAAGTTGGTTTTCAACCAACTCTCTCTCTAAATCTCTTCGTTGATTTGAAGTGCCTTCACCTCTCGCCTCTTTACGCCACCGCATTTATGAAGTCCATCTATGACCAACTATATTCTGAATAGTGCCAAAAAGAAATGTTGCAAGTATTCATAAGCTGCAGTGACCTGGTCGTTTGCCATCATAGATCCATTTGATTCATTTATTATTATATTCTTAAATGATATTATTTGATTCAATATAGATGATATAACCAATTGTTTTCTCAGTGTAATATGTTTTTGTAATTGTTTGTATTTAAAATAAATACATTATTGTAATCTTACGGAGGAAACAATAAAGAGTATCTATCTTTTATTTCTTTCTTTCTTAAATTATTTCTTTTCTTTCTTTTTATTTTATAGTATAAGAACAAAAGAAGATCCAATTATTATTACTACATATAATGAACGATATACAACGAAATGACCTTTCGTTGTCGAGGTGTGCAAATTATTCGCGTTCGTATCTCGTTTCGTCCAGTTTATCTTTCTGGTTTCGTCCAGTTTTTTTTTTTTATACACTACGTAAATGAATAACGCAATATCCTAGGACCCGCTGAACTTGAGACCGGTGATTTTGTAGAAACAGACTTGTACTGTTGCGTCATTTACCCTACTGACATTAATGTTAAAATTAAGAATTCGTATAATGAGATAATTTTAACTACTATATATAAAATTTGTGGACAATATACAGAGTCTAATGATTAAACTAATAATTGGATTGCATACTCTAAAAGTTTTTTTTTGTAACACTTTATTGTACAATAAACCCCTTAAATTATAGGAAGAGTTCTTAAGAAAAGAATGAGTACAATGGCATACTAGGGATATCCCATAAAAGGGATTTTTTCCAACCAACTTTTAAATGTTTGACAGAAATTGTGAACTGGTGAAGACAAAAAACAAATAATAGCTAATTAAAAAAATAGAACAATTATAGTTGTTACAGTTACAATATTAATACTGGACGACATAACACATCTAAATGATACATAATACATATAAAAGGACTACATCTCTATGCATAACATTTCTAATATTCTAAATAAGGAGGTACATAAATCTTATATTTAAAATTTACAAATACAAGAATACTAGCAAACAATGATATTGGAACATT